CAAAGCTTTCCCGAAAATCCCCATTCTTTCATTTTTCAAAAGTCATTTCCATACGTGCAATCCCCAATGATGAATTCATGAATGCCACATACTTTCAATGTTGTAATATAAGGGAATTCTAACATTTGTCATGCCGTGACAATATCATAAAATGGGGAATTTAATACCACAATTTACAACATATGCTCACAACAATCAATTAGATATTTAGCATTATAATAAGCATGATAAATTAACCACTTATCACAATTTCCATACAATTAAATCATTTAAGGAGTAATCCATCTAAACTAAGCATGCTTATCACATAAGTCAACAAACACACATATATAAAATCTTTATACGCACCATTAAATCATTTTTAAAGCAATCAACCTTAAATCAAGCATGTTTGGCCAAAATTCTAGAGGAATAACTCACTAAGGTACAAGAAAAGTGTGAATTAGACACCTTTACCTCTAATTGAGCAAAAACCCCAATTTTCTTCACAAACCCTAGAAATGGGTCCTAAGATTCGAAGTTCAAAGGGTGCACCAAATCTGGAATTGTTGGTATGTATGCGTAGAGCTCGACACAAGCTTCGTTTTGCCTTAAACGGCACCTCAATCCGACAAAAGGTGGAGGAGTAATCTAAGAATGAAGTTTGAGTTCAAAAAGAAAAAGAAAAAAACAAGAAACAGAGACAGAAGGAAGGGCCAGCGGGAGAGAAGAAAAATGGAGACCAATTGTGGTCTCAAACCCTTTTTGGGTGTGGTGGTGGGTCCCACCAAAATTTTAATTTGCTTTCTCTCTTTTTTTTTTTTTTTTTTATTTTTATTTTTACTCAATGTACATCACACACACAGACATATATATATATATATATAAAGGCACAAACATTACACAATCTGTCTAGATGTCCTGCCGGGCGTGCCAAGAATGTTCGGCTGGCGAAAAGGTGCTAGTTCCACTTTCTAGGTGAGTGGAAAGTAGGAGTGGATGTCAGGCGTGCCAGGAACTATTGTCGTTCCAAAGTGAGTATCCGAAGAACTATCCAGTAAGAAATTGCAGGGATCAGGCGATTGAATGAAGGACTGGAATCACCACCTTAAAGGGTTCTTTTTGCCTTGAAAAAGGACTTTCGGACTGAACTATGGCAAATGGAAAGGAAAGTGGTATTGAAAGTACAGGACTTCAAAGTAAAGTGCTGGAAAGTAGGAATAATAAGTGCAGGGCTTAAATTAAACATATTGAAGGTGCATTACATGAATGTAAAGATACATGAATATAAAGATATTGAAGTGCTGTTTTACTGTGTGATTTGAACAGGGTTTGCAAGTGAAGCCTAAGTGATCTATTTATAGAACTTTCCATGTATGTAGCAGCTTGATGTGGCAGCTTCAGCAGCTTCCACGTGGAATGACTCCGGACTGCCACATGTCCTATGATTCCTCATCAGTTATAACTTCTTCTATCTCATCCATCTTCTGTTGTAGATTTCAACCACATCCTCTTTAGTTTTCAACGAATTTGTGTCTTAGGTAGTTTCAAAGTGAATTCCCACATGTCCTCTTTGTGACTTGGCAAGTGTTCCATGATTTTGTTCTTCTTCCTCAAGCCGTCAACTCATTTCCTTAACTTCAGACACGATTTCACCAACTGCTGCCCTGTCACCCATGACCCTTGATAACTTCCCTTGGTTAGTGGTAGTTTCCTTATAGGTTTCCACCACTTTCAACTGATGTGTTCCTATTTAGCCAAGTGTCCCATGACTTCTAGTAGTCTTTCACTTCTGTTAGAACCCTCCTTTCACTATACAACTCCATATATATCATGCACATATAAGGAAGTTATTTGTAGACCACGTTCTCCTAGCTTTGGGTAACTTCCTTCTAGTTGAGCTTTCCTTTCTGGTCTTTGTATCATGACATCGTGGCCCCAAGACTTCAGCGATATTTTCCTTTATGGACAATATATATATATATATATATATATATGTATATATATATACCCAGGAATATACATCATTGCCCACGATCTTCTGTCAACCACATTCCTTTGAATTTTAGTAACTTCTATCTTGAGACTTTCCTTCTAGGCTTTGGAGTTCATGGTGCCATGACCTCCTTAATTTTAGCAACTTCTCCATCGTGGGTAGTTTATCCAACCCACTTCCTTTCCTTATGTAGACTACGTCCCTGATCTTATGCCGAACCTACCATATCAATTTCACGGCATCGTGATTTCCTCCCACTATTCTACTGACTTTACATCATGGATTATGGTTGTAGCACACTTTTTTAATTATAGCAGCTTCCCTTCAACCTTACTTCATCTTGATTTAGAACTCATGGCTTCATGGACTCCTTTTTTTATGGTGATTTCTCCATTATGGGTTAAACCTAATAAATATATATATATACTTGCAAATATATATATATTTATAGAAACAAATTAAATCCCACGTCTTGCTGAATTTTAGTAACAGAGGTTGACCTGGCTTGGGCAATTGCTGAAGTCTCCTAAAAATAAGGAGAAATATCGTCTCCACGTCCCTTTCGTGACCTGGTCAACTTTGATTTAAATGGAAAATACCCATTTTAATTGGTATCCTATAAAAATAGGATCTTCGAATTAATTCATCTTTAATAGAATTAATCTACCGTGGCAAGTTTAATAAAGATCACCATGTGTTGATAAATTATTGGTTGGTTGAATCTTTGACTTTAACCTTCTCATGAAGTTGCACTCATGGTAATAATTCCATGCCATCTTCTTATCTTTTTAGGACATTATATCTCAAGTTTGGTAAGTCCTAGTGGGACTCACCACTCCCTTTTAATTCCCTGTAGTATTAATATTCCAAAGGAATATTTATCAGTATTACACTCTGACATGGCAAGTTCCATTGAGACATGCCATGTCACTCTTTTCTATTAATATACCATCTTAACAATTCCACGTCACATTCTCATATTCTTAAATTATTAGAACACTAAACCAATATGGTAAGCTTGTCAAAACTCGCCACTTGTCTTCTTTCCATTGGGCAAAATTATGGAACAAACGAAACAAAATGTAAGAAATTTCTTTCTTTATCATTTCCAATTGTCATTTACATAGTTCCTTTTCAAATAATCATCACATACTAAACTTCTAGAAAAACAGTGTCATCTCAAAATCGAGGGGATGAATGTACATCCACGACGCGCAACGATTTACAATGGTCATTAATTCTCAAATTATGTTTGGTAACATGTAGTCGGTGACTTATAATTGGAACTAGAGTTGAAAGAAAATTATTTATGCAATTCTATACTTTAAAACACAATGTCAATATCAAATCGGTAAAATCTATAATGTACATAGCACAATTCAAAAAAAAAAAAAAAAAAAGTTTGATAAAGATGTGATTGAAAGTTGAGAAAATTGTGAAGTAAAAGATAAAATTAAAAAGGGGAATTCAAACCTGAAATTACACCAGGCAAAAAAAAGGAAAAGGTAATCACTTAATTTGTTACATAATTTATTAGTAAATAAAATTGAATCTATTACTTGGAAAGTATAGTGTCCACAAAAACAATAAATATAGAATTTCAAAATTTAATTTAATTTTAAATTATCCTTCTTCAGCAGCCTAAAATAAAATAAAATGGCATCAATCAATTGAAAAAGAGAAACATGAGGAAATGAAGAATGAGAGAAGGAAAGAACCAGAAGAAGAAGTGGGGGGGGGGGGGGGGGGGGGTTGGGGTGAGGAAGTCTTGCAGCGAGAACATCACAGTGGAATATAATTAATTGAACTTGTTCTTCTTCGTCTTTGTCGTCGCAAGTTGTTGGTGGGATTTTGGCTTCGGAATCATTTGGATTGGATGGTTCTGACTTTTGAGTGAGGCTAGGGCAACGTTGATCTCCGAGAGTGAGAAGTCATCACAAAATGCAACACTACTGCAACCACTGTACTTAGGCTTGGCTTATTCTACGCTAAGTCACATAATCCTCCTCAAATTTGATTAACTCTACTACTGTCATGCTCCTACTCCCAGTTTATGTGACTCTGTTTTTGATTAATTCTGTTGCTCTCCTGCTCCTGCTCTTGCCTTATGTGATTTAGATTCCACATAAAATATTTTATTTTTATTTTTATTCTTTTGTGTTTGGCAAAGGTTGAGAAGAGGTGGAGTCTTGGAGTTTTTTTTGAAAAATGAGTTAAAAAAAAAATATATCAACTTGCCCCCTTTGCCAAAAAAAAAAAAAAAAAAATTTAAAAATTAAAATATATAGATATATATATATATATATATATGCTCCCCTGATTTTTATTTTATTTTTATATTTTTTATTTTTAACATTATGTAGTTTTAATTTTCTTTATTTTCAATTATATTAATTTTGAAATTTTAACATTGTCCCTCTCAATAATGTAGGTCCTTTAGTTGTAACAATGGAATTGAGGGATATCAAGAATTGGTAATTCATGTGGAGAAAAAGGGTGAAAACAAAAAATATAATGTATTATACACAGATGATTTTATTTCTTGAACTCAAAATTTTCTGAAGAGTTTTTAACTTTGACTGCTATTCACGCATTTGTAATAAAATTTATTTGAGAACTTCCAGATTAAATTAACTATTATTTGTTTTAAGATAAAGAATTCAAGTCCATATTGTTTCAAGTCCAGCCTACGTACAAATACAGTAATAGAATTAACTTTAGGCATTGGGAACTGGTTGACAAATTGACTTCAGTAATTGAATTCTTTGGGCTCATACAAACATGCATGTGACCTAGCGGTATAAGGTTCTTATCTCTTAAAGGGAGGTCAGGGATTCGAACCTCAGCGGAGGCAGTGTGTGTGCGTCCCAACTAGGAAAAAAAAATTTCTTTGGGCTCATTGTAGAAGCGTCATCAAGTTCACTATATATCAATTTATGCATGCGGCTAGTTCAAGTAGGTTTCTTTCTACCAATTGTTATCTTCACAGTGATTTTAGAAAAGCAATCCTTCTAAGGACTAATTTTTACTGAAATAACTTATGAGACTAAAGGATAACACTATACACATATGACTAGGCTTACAAATTCAAAGAGATCAAAAGACCAGCTAGTTAAGTTTCTAGTAAACATGGCAATTTCAAATGAAATAAAATAAAGATAACACATAATGGAGCTGGCCACCAAAATTAACAAACATTATTACATGACTCACCCTTCCACCAATACTGCAAATTACCGGAGGCCATCTTATTGGACTAAAGATGCTTTTTTTTTTTTTTTTTTTTTTGCTTTCTCCAAATATGCCTCAGCCAATTATTTCTACATCAGAAATAACTTACATTTTCCTTTCTTCTTTTTTTCTGTTGAAAAAGAGGCTTATACAGAAGTTTTTGCCAGGTGTGGAGCCGTGGAGGATCAAAATATTTACATGAAACATCTTCTAGCGAGGGGCCAAAATTGTTACAGTTAATTGATTGGATGAACACAATTTAGGCTTGTTTGATGATGAATCTACTTCAGCAAACTTTCTTCCAGTGTAAAACCCGGGCTCTTTCGGTTGAGGCAAAGCAATCTCACTATCTAACATCATAACCACAGATGACATGTTTGGCCTATCCTCTGGACTTTGTTGCACACATAATAGACCGATATGGATTGATCTAAATGCTTGAGTAAGATTACACGAGTGCACTACCGATGCATCAATCAGATCCAAAGGTTTACCTTCTTTATAAAGTGTCCATGCCTAATTGCGACTTATTTTTGTTAGTAATTCTTGAATCAATGCATGAAATACTACAAGGTAGCTATTGACACTTACATGTCCTAGGAGGTTGAGGCAGTGATCTGGATGAGAAAATCCTCTATTTTTGCTCCCACAAACTATCTCAAGCACCAATACACCAAAGCTATACACATCAGATTTTACCGAGAATAATCCATTCATTACATACTCAGGGGACATGTAACCGCTGCAGGAAGTCAACAAAAAAGAAATCAATTTCTGAGCAATAGAAGTAGCACATCCAACATAGTTAAAGTTCTTACTGTGTTCCAACCACCCTATTTGTATGTGCTTCCATTTCATCACCGCCAAAAATTCTAGCCATGCCGAAGTCTGAAATTTTGGGGTTCATGTTGTTATCAAGTAAAATATTACCAGCCTTGAGATCTCTATGGATAATTCTGAGTCTGGAATCTTGATGACGGTAGAGAACTCCCCGAGCAATCCCCTTGATATTGTTGTAGCGCTTAGGCCAATCCAGTAACATGCTTTTTTCTTTATCTGCCCAAATTTTCCATCCAATTAATTCATGTTGCTGTTCAGTTGGATTCATGAGGCTAAATGACAACTACTTTTATAAATTCACAACCATGAATAATCCTTGGGAGCAAGGTCAAGCAGCTGCACTTATTATGAAGAAGTTAGAGTATCCTGTCTCCAATCTTCAACTGGGATGAATATGGTGCTCGACCCTTCTCCCAAGGCTTTTGATAAAAGCAACCTCCTAAACATCACTCCACAGGAAGTGAGGAATTTGGAGCATGCATAATGAAAATAACTAGACAGGACTAAGTTCAGTTTATTAAGACTATCAAAAAGTACAAAAGGCTAAATAAATAAAAGTTTCAAGTGACACAAACCGAAAATGAAGTAATCCAAGCTTTTGTTGGGTAAGTATTCGTAGATCAACATCCTTTCGTCATCTTGAATGCAACAACCTAGAAGCTTCACGAGGTTTCGGTGCTGAAGTTTGGAAATACATAGAACTTCATTCTTGAACTCATCGAGTCCTTGTCTTGAATTCCTTGAAAGCCTCTTCACAGCTATTTCTTGTCCCTCTTCTAACACACCCTGAAAATTATCATTCTGAGAGTTTCATTTTCCCTTTTTCATTCCCTCGACGTTCAGTGTGCTATCCTTTGTGGAGATTGTCTCCAATAGGCATTATTAAGACAATTACTTCATACTTCATATTATAACAGCAGAGTCAAAGGTGTAGAACAATAGCACTAACTAACATTGCTAAGCATTTAGAATAAAGATTTTAAAGTAGAGAAATTTTCAGGGAAAACTAGTGACTGAAAAGTTTTTATGCAAATACTGGTTTTGGTGCATAGAGATGGTACCATAACAGAGTTGGTAGCAAAAACTATTTTTCATAGATATTCCTAGATGCTGCATAGATTAATAAATGTGACCATTACCTTGTAGACAGGTCCAAAGCCGCCCTCTCCAAGCTTATTGTCGATCAAAAAGTTACTTGTGGCATTAGCTATTGTCTCAAAGTCAAATAATGGCAACTCTAAATCTTGATTGAGTTTAACTAGTTCTGTAAAGTAGAAATAAACTTCATATGAATAAAACAAGTTGTACAAATTCGTTGAATTAACATGTATGGCAATCTTATTCAATAAGATCCCAAATTAAAATCACTAATGCCATGTTTGAGAGCACTGAATCTGTGACAGCAATACCGAATCACCAAATTTGCTTCAATTCCAAATTCAATGCACCAATTCAGTGCTCCCAAAGGCGACCTAAAAATATTCTTACTAACGAATCACTCCAACTCTACTTCTAGAATGGTATGGCATGATACTCTTGTGGCATCATGATAATCATTTTTTTAAGAATAAAAAAAGAAACTGGTAAGCAACATCAGTGGGTAGAACAAGAATTGAGATGTCCAGCTGTTTTCCATTGCTATATCAACAAAAAAGAATGTGAAATAATCACAAACTTAAGTAATGATACCCTAGATGCATTTTTAGCAGCATTTATTTGTTTCTTTAATCATTTGCCTGCTTCAATAAAAATATCATCTATAGCGGTATTGATGTCACTCCCGGTGCGAAAATCATATTGGTTAGAAAATTTTTCCCTTTTCTAATTATTGTACATATTGTATCTTTCTATATTACTCTTAACAGATTTTAGGAGATTTAATTTCCTTTTCTATGTGGAGAGCAATTGTATATATGCACGTCTTGTACAAAGGATTTTTGCAATGAGTGAAGATTATTTTTCTTCTCCAAATTTCTCTTACATAGTATCAGAGCAGGCAAAGACACCTGTTCAAACCAGAAAGCTAAACATCAGCTATTGTGTTGAAATATTTAAATATTCAAGTTATACTCTCTTTAAAAGCTCAAGCTTTAATTCAGGGTAGATAAGTACACATGCTCTCTACACACCCTTCATGACACGTAATGTCTCTCTCTATCCTCACCCTGAAAAAGTGACGTAAGCTAAGAGGAAGGATGATGACTAAGACCCAAAATTTGATAGGTCCATTTTAGTAGATCAATTGAAAAAAAAAAAAAAAAAAAAAAAAAAAAAAAAAAAAAAAAAAAAACACTTTGGTTGGATGATATTATCAAGAGTTAATAGCATTAAAAAAGCTTGATTTTGGTACACTCACTGTACATGAGCCATCAGATTACAGCAACCCGCCCTTATTGTAAAGCAAAAGTGGCACAATTAAACTGAAGAGGTACAGAATGAGACCAAGATAAAGTGGCAAAGGAAATAAATTTGAAAATCTTTGACATTTGATGCCGACAAGACACGATTCGCCTCTGTAAAAATTTGTAGTTTTCTTTGCTAAATAGGAAAGGGAAGTAATTTGAGTGTTCTAGATACCTTACCTAGTCTCAGCTTCCTCCTCCTTAAGAAATACAAGAGAAAGAACAGGCCTAGGAGAACCACTGCTGCAAGTAATATAGGAATGATTATAATCTTCAATCTTCCGGATCCCTTTCCAAGGGAGCTGCTATGTGTGATGACTACACCATGTGTTTCTGCAGAGTCAAAATTTACCACAATGTAAAGCAACTATATATGAAGGCAGGAAAACTAAGAAATAAAACAGCAGTAAAAGAAGACACTTTTCATTGAGAGCTTCTAATATGCCTCCTTTCTGGTGAAAACATGGCAACTTTCTTTTATATTCCAAACAGAATGTAAAAGCTACTGATCTGCATGCTTGGGAACATATATCGTACCTACTAACTCAGAGGAGGCCATTCTTATGTAAAGATCTTGTCCAATTTCTGTGAGCTCCCTAATATCAATCAAGGCATCAAACCAGAGCAAGCAGCCACTTCCTCCTGCTGTTACGTCTATATTTGCATAAGCCATACAAGAACAGTTTTTTGAGCATACCGTCTCACATTCCTTGAGGGTCATGGTCCTATTAAACCAGGAATTCCGCGTGTCAGGCAATTTAACACCGGAATACTTGATAAATCCATTTGATGATTCATTGTGGCAATCCAAGGCTGTTCTTCGAACACACCCACCTGACCAATCTGCTGTGTCCCACTCTTTTGGGTACCTTGGAACAAATTTATCAAGACACCCACACACCGGGGAGTCAGCAATGCTGCAGATACCATAGGCCTGACACAGCCCATAAAAATTACAGTTATCTGCTGGTGTATTAGTATAAAATATCCAATCCTGTGTATTATAATTCCATGTCAAGCGCTGTACAATTCCATTCTGGTACAAAACCCGCCGTGAGAGAACTGAGCTATTAATAAGCTCATATTCATAATACACTTCCTGCTGATCAAAAACAAAACGGTATGTGTAGATGCTGTTTGGTTTTAAACCCACCGAGCCACTAAAGCGGAGACCATTCCATGGTCCAGAGCGGTATTCCTCAACCGAACCATTCAGGAGGACTAATTGTGGGAATCCACGAAGATCAAATCCAAAAGAATAGTTTCCTTTAGAAGGGTCATCACTGGACTTCCATGACCATAGACGCCTATCAATTCCAGTTACTAGGTTCTTTCCCAGCTTCATACCTGGCAACAAAGTGTCTCCAGGATAATCAAAACCCTGCCACAGGAAATTCTCATCATTTGCATCTTTGACAACAAGATTACCCGAATCCAAAAGCTGTGCAACTGGAGCTGAATTCACTGTGTTGTTATTTGAGGATGAATTTGAAGAAGACCAGATGATGCTGTTTGTACTATTGACAAGCACGAGAATTCCTCCGTCTGTGAGCTTTAAGACTCCTCCTCCTGAGGTATCAGTAAGTGGAGTGTCTCTGTTGGCAACCCATACCACAGTCCCATCAGAAATTTTCTTGTACCATATTCCCAAGTATCGATTCCTGGAAATACCGCCGGAGGGGTTGAAAAATCCCAGTTCGAATGATCTGTCTGGAGAGACCATGGTTTGCCCGTCTGTAAGAGAATGAGTTGTAGTTAAGGTGTTCAATTCTACTGCATAGGAGGTTATTGTTAACATGGAAAAAATAGAATACAAGTAAAGAATTATGGTAAAGCCAAAATTCTTTGATGATTTACTTATGCTTCCCATAATGGTGCCGTCTACCTTTCAGACTCTTTGAAGCGAAGTTAATCATCCAAATCTCTGAAACCCAAATGAATTGGTTTTGATTTTACGACAAATTTAATCATAAAAATGGATTTTGGAGTGGACTCTGTTTCCATATTGCTACTTGAATTGAGCTTTGTATATAAATGAATAATGATGGGCATCTTTTTCCATGGTCATCAAAGGCTTCTGAAACCATTCACAATTTTTCCTTCTTTGACCCACTTGAAACAGATTTATGCCTATTTTTCCTTCTTTGACCCACTTGAAACAGATTTGTGACAGTGATGGCTTCCTCTGTTATGAAGGATTTGCAATGCTATGTGTGACATGTTGAATAATGATGGCCTTTCTCATTCACTTGTCTGTATGATTTTATTGATATATATATATATGTGTGTGTGTGTGTATATATATATATATACCTAAAACCCTAAACACTTACAGATAGAGATGGAGATGGAACACCAACTAGCTGAATAATTTTTTGTTAGGATTTGTTGCTGAACATAAATTGGGGATTTTCAAATACGGAGTATATGGATATAACATGTATATGTATATATAATAATGGGTTTAATGGTCAGAAGGGTATTTTTGACATTTTAAAATTGGGTTAGGTCACATTTGTCACCTGCCTTCAATTAAGTTAAATTTCAGATTGTGGGCTAACGGTTTTAGATTTTTATTTTATTTTTATTTTTATTTTTATTATTTTTATTTTTATTTTTTATTTTTTTTTTGCTTGCAACAAATAGGATAATTTAAGGGGTTAAGTGTCAAAACAATAATTCAGGTGAGTTTCTTGAAAGAGAAAGGAAGTTAAAGGAGTTTAGTGCACTTAACCCAATTAAATAAAATTCTCACACCAATCGGTGGATCAGCATGGGAATCTGCAGAGTATAAATGAGCAATTAATTTAGTCATGTAAATTTGCCCAGCTCAATAGTCATATTACTCATTTCACTAGCTATAATAAGGGTCAAGGCCAACCAGCTAGACCTAGACCTCCCTTTTCCATTCTTTTGGTCTTTAGAGCAGCTCCAATGGTGTAAAATTTGAAGATACTGGGCTGAATTTGAATATTGGGCTGCTCCATTGGACTCTTCATAAAGTGGGCCCCCATTAATACAATCTTGATCCAAGTCTCTAAAAATACAATCTTGGCCTGAATGCGGGCCCGCATCAGTTTTCTTTTTCTTTTTAAATTCAGGCCCAAACAGTGTTTTAGCCCAAAACACTGTTTGGTAAGGGCTGTTTGGTTGGAAAAAAAAGGAAAAAAATAGTTTTTTGCCTGATTTTGGCCTTTTTTTTTTTTTTTTTTTTTCCTTAAAATAATTGAGCCAAAGAGCCATTAAGGCACTATTTGGCTTGCACAAACAATGCTTTAAAGGCTTTTTTGAGCAAAAAAAGTTAAAAAAAAAAATAGATAAAAGTGCTACTTTAAAAAAAAAAAATTGCTTTTTAAAATATTCCTATTGACATATAGCCGTTTTAGGCACAGTTTGGCTGACCCAAACAGTGCCTTAACGGCTATATTGGCACAAAAACCTATTTTTTGAAATTTTTTTTTTTTTAAAATTCATTATATATATGTATTGTTTAAATTTATGTTGTATAGTATTGTTTTTAATAATAAATATTGTATTATTTAATTTTTTTTTTTTGACATAGCCGTTTTAAAAATATAGCCGTTAAGAAAAAGTTAAAAAATAAAATTTATTAAAAATTTAAAAAATAATAAAATATTAATATTTTTGGAAAGCGAAAATGCACCATTGGAGTACATCCGATAGCTAAAATTTAGAGATTGTAAAACGCTGACGTGGCTATTGAAAATGCTGACGTGACCGTGGGAAAATGCTGATGTGGAAAATTCGGAGAGTTCATTGGAGATGCCCTTATAGTTATTAGAGGACCATGCTATTAGGCCATCTGTACCAGACTCTTCGGATTTTGGCTATCTAAAAACGCCATATCAGCTTTTCCAAGTGTCACATCAGCAATTCTAAGAGCTATGTCAACAGTTTTCGCTCTCCAAAAACATGCACTGCATCAGACTCTCTGAATTTTCGCTCTCCAAAAAAAATAATAATAATAAATTAAAATTAATTTTTTTTAATTTTTTTTTTTTAACTTTTCCTAGACGGCTATATTTTTAACGGCTATATTTTTCATCTTATATAATGAAACTCATTTGCTCATCTGAAAATCATCACTATATTCATCTCTCTCTATTGTAGCAAAATATCATCATCCATCTTTTTCAATTTCGAAATTCAAATGGCTTCGTCATCACAAGCTTTTCCTTTGGCAGACTCTAATTCTTCATCTTCTTCGTCATTTTCTTTGGAAGATGATCCTTTTGGGGCATTGACTCAACAGGATCAAGACGAATTCTGTGAGATTATGAATTCAGTGAGGCCAGAGATAGTTGAACAACTATTTCAAGTCTGTAAAAAGAAGCGGTATATTCATCATGACCTCTCATTATCAACTAATGAAAGACTACTTCGACGAGAATTGCACATATCCGCCGAAGTATTTTCATAGGCGATTTAGGATGCAACGAGAACTTTTTCTTCGTATCCTTAATGATGTCAAAGCTTATGATAACTACTTTGTCCAAAAAAAGGATGCGACTGGTCGTCTGGGGTTGTCTTCTATACAGAAGATGACAATTGTTGTTCGTATACTCGCATATGGTTGTGCAGCTGATCACTATGATGAGTATACTAAAATCGGCGAGAGCACTGCCATTAAATGCTTGAAGGCATTTTGTAATGCTATTGTTACTGTGTATGCAGAGGAGTATATGCGCCCACCCAACGAAGTGGACATAGCACGGCTGCTTGAAGGAGGGAAGCAGAGAGGATTTCCGGGTATACTTGGTTCTATCGATTGTATGCACTGGGAGTGGAAGAATTGCCCAGTGGAGTGGCAAGGCACACATAAGGGACGATCTGGCAAGAATATTCTCATATTAGAAGCAGTTGCCTCACAAGATTTGTGGATCTGGCATGCATTCTTCGGAATGTCGGTTTCACACAATGATATAAATGTGCTGGATCATTCCTCGGTATTCAACGGCATCGTCAATGGCCAATTACCTCCGATTAATTATGTAGTGAATGGACATCACTATAAAATGGGGTATTACCTTGGTATATACCCTAAGTGAACAACTTTGATGCAGACCATCCCGCACCCAACCACTACAAAAGAAAAATTATTTGCTCAACGACAAGAGGCAGCAAGGAAAGATGTGGAACGGGCTTTTGGGGTATTGCAGATCAAGTGGGGAATAACGCAAGGACCAGTGCGTTACTGGGAGAAAGATGACGTGCGCCTCATAATGAAAACGTTCATCATCCTTCACAATATGATCATTGAAGATGAGTGTCACGCAAATATGGGAAGATGGACTTCGCCACCAGAGGATGAAATCTCGATTCCCACTTTAAGTCGATGCCCATCAGTTTTAGCGGCACACATATCCTCTTGTTAACTTCAGATTCGCAACAGAGAGACAAATACGCGGTTGAGGAATGATTTGATGAAAAATTTGTGAAACCGCTATGCTGATGAAGATGTTTAATTTATGTTGCATTTTGATTGCTTCTAAGATGTTATGACATTTCGTGTACTAGAATTTTTATTATGTAATGGTTTTTTAAGATTAAAAATAATGAATTGTAATGAATAATGAATTAGAAAATTCTATGGGAATAAGTAGAAAAATTTGTAATTTAAATTATTATTTTTACAAAAAGTGTTAAAAAAAAGCTTTTTTATTTATTTTTGGCCCAAATAAATAAGGATTACAAAATAAGAATTACAAAATAAGGATTAAAAATAATGAATTGGAATAAGAAAATAAGGATTACAATTTAAAGCAAAAAAATAAATAAATAAAACAAAAACAAATTTTAAGGAAAAAAAAACAAAAGCTTTTTGAATTTATTTTTGGCCTAAATAAATTTTTTTTTAAGGATTACAAAATAAGGATTAAAATTGATGAATTGGAATAAGAAAATAAGAATTAAATTTATTTTTGGCCTAAATAATTTTTTTTTTAAGGATTAGAAAATAAGGATTAAAAATAATAAATTGGAATAAGAAAATAAGGATGACAATTTAAAGCAAAAAAAAAAAAAAAAAAAAAAAAAAAAAAAAAACAAATTTTAAGGAAAAAAACAAAAAAAACAAAGCTTTTTAAATTTATTTTTAGCCCAAATAATTTTTTTTTCCAATAAATAGTGCCAAACAATATATTTTTTATTTAATGAATTTTACGCACTGTGCATAGATTAGAGAATAAGACAAAATAGCGGTAGCCCAAAACGGCGCAATTTTGAAGCAAGAAAAAACAAAAAAAAAAATTTCAGCGATCCCGGGCTGGCTCGTTGAAGACCACGAGCCGGCCCGCGATCGCTAATGGACCCTACCACTTATAGCTAGCCCGCTACAACATCCACAGTCCATTCGCTCGCTCAAAATGGACTTTGAAGAGCCCTGCTGCAGCTGGCCTTAGAGCCGAAGACTTCAGCGGAAGTCTTTAGCAGGCATCCATATAGTGGATCCCATCACTATGCATCCCATGGGCCATGGATGCAAAGTCTTCAACCAACTGAATATCATTTTCCTTCTTGACTAAAAGCTAGTTGTGACTCATAATTGACCTTTCAATTGATCCTATTCAGATGGCATCAGCCACAAATTGAGCATCTATGATGTAGGACAGATTTTAGTATTTTTTTAATTAGGTTTATTAGTTTATTTTTACTTTATATTTTTAGACAGTTTTTAGTTTTAGGTAATTTCTTTATATTTTTTAATTTTGTTTCCTTATATTTTTATTTTCTTTTAGGAATTAGTTTCCTTATAGGATTAGATTTTAGTTTTCCTTCTATTGTTAGGTTTGCAATAGCAGAGGGGATCAATGAATTTTATCAATAGAAATATTATATTCTTCTTCAATTCTGTGAACAATCTATTGCTTCTTGACGTAAGCAGGGCGGTTTGAATCCATAAACTTCTGCTATCGCATTACATGTTTTTATTATAGAGAAAACCTAACAATGGAAGGAAACTAAAATTTAATCCTATAAGGAAACTAATTCCTAAAGGGAAACAAAAATACAAGGAAACAAAATTAAAAAATATAAAGAAATTACCTAAAATCTAAAAA